GCGTGTGCCAGCCTCTCTCTGTTTAGCGAACCTACCGCGCCGCCGTATGCGAAAATAAGGGCAAAAGAGACTGAATTAAGTGGATGCACCTGATTTTTTTGTTCGCAAAAACGAAACCACCTGCGCGCGCTGCTAGGAATGAAAATTACGAGACGGAATAAAATTTTTCATCGATTTTCATGCGCACTATTCCCACGTTCTCGGTGAGCGTCTTAATTAAACACTGGCCAGTAGTTTTTCATTAAAGGCAGCTGCAAAACGGGAACGCGAAGCGTGAATTATATCTTGCGCCGCCGCTTCTTATCGGTGCCTTTTGATGCACCGAAAAACCGCGACGCGATCTCTTTCCTTCTACACGCGCGGGGAAATAAAAGAAACGAACAACGATGGGATCTGGCTACGAGGAGGAAACAGGTATACGCGCAGGTGATTGAAAATCAACGCTGCACCGGTCGCTTCTACAGCATTTGATCGACGCGCGTTTCATTCTTGCAGACGTGGGTTCAACAATGTGAATCATGTGTTAATATTGTTAAAAGAACGTGATACTGACTTTTTTACGAATTTAATGTTAGTAATAATTTCATATAAGCATAACATAGGACCGTTTTGTCCATGTTTCAAGAATTTAAAGATCATTTTATATTAGAAGGCTGTAAAAATTAATGGTTTTCAATAGAATGAGTTCAATTTTCTCAGAAATTTTACATTACTATTAAAATATTATTATTTACAATTGGACTCCAGATTTTATTGCGTTCATGACAGAATTCAATACTCAAGACAGCTAAAACTTGGTTTCATCAACAAATCTAACATTTTATATATTCAATTCACCACAGAGCATTTTCAACTCCTAAACAGGCGAGTAAACTTGTATAAAATCAATCTCAGTAGTTCATTAACCATAAAATTAACGATACAAACTTGGTATTAACGTACCACAGGATCATTTAATGGTTAAACAATATTCACTACCCTCCAATCAATAAACCTCTCAAAAAAACCCTTTCATCACCCTCAAAACATAAAAAACTATATTCCACAGATAACCACCTATAAAATACCTACATAAGACATTCCTTACACCCGCAACTCATACGAACGTATAGTCCGATGAAGAAAAGATTTCGCTTGTCCTAAAAGCTACAAAGTCATGGAAGCAAGGAAACTGTAAGGGCGACCAAATGGGACGAAGTGAGATGTAAAGATGGAGAATGAAGTTGGCGACACTATGAAATTTATTTTCTATCGTTACATCTTACTTCACCACATTCGGTGTCCCTTCCAGTTTCCTTGTCTTCCTAACTTCTTAGCTTTTAGGACAAACGAAGTCTGTCCTCCGTCGGGTTACACATGAACAAGAACGCTACCATCAATTACTAGGGGGCATCTAATAATCGAGTTTCCAACAACAACACTAATCTCCCTTCGAACAGTACTTGGAGCACAGTCGAAATCGGATGTAAGCATTCCCGTATAATTGAAAGTCAAGCCGTAAACGATCGTCTAACAAAAATCGGTTCTCCGATCCGTCGCCTCGTATGTTCCGCGTCCTCTCGTCGCGGGTACCCCGAGGGTATCCATAAAGTAACGTTTATCAATCTCCCACCAGGAGAATTTACACCGTTCCTGGAATATCGTCAAATCGCACCGCCGCCGTCAAGTCGTAAAGTTAAATTCCTTTGTATCCGCGATGCAATCGTCGCGGGCGCGCGCGTCCTGTCTCCGCAGCCGCTCTTTTACGCCCCGAACGTACTACTCCCTCTCAGTGAGAGCGGAGAGGAACACTGCGCCCGCATATCCCGCAACGACACGACCGCAGTCACCTCACGGATATCCGGTACCGATCCGCGTGGCGCACGCATCTCGAATCACCATCTCTCGAAAGCCCTCTCTCTCTCCTCCTTTGCTTCTCTCGCACCGCGCAAGGCGCAGCGCGTCGCCCGCCGGCCACTTCTCACGTGGCCCCGCGCAACACAATCCATGCACCAGCCCTTTAAACGAGTCATGACTCGGGCTCGGACGCGGTAAGCTATGTCGTCGACGCAATGTCGCGAACTGAGGTGCTAGCTGGAGAAAACTATATTTTCCGCGCAGATCTTTCGGTCTCATCGGATAATGTTTGTACGTTATATTTTTTAACCAATTAACTGCGTTTGACAAGTATACACGTCATCTTAAAACTCGAAATGATGCCAACTTTTTCAATGATGGACTATTTGATTTTTAGACAAACATGTAATTTTTCTTGGATTCGTTTTAGTTTTTCATTGGAATATATCTTAAATTCATTATATGATTTCAGTGCGCACACAATAAGAAATTTTTGAAATTAAATTCCGCACTTAACGGGTAAAATATATATATATATATATGTTAAGAGCGATATGATAAATCGGGGGTTATACATAATTACCAGCGACTTACAGGCGATTATGTATAATTACCATTACCGATTGTACACAATTGCCGGATTAATTAAATTTATCGTAACATATATAATTTATGAAGACTATGTTACTGTCGATGGATTAATTCGTAATTTAGAAGGCGATCCTGAAGTTTCAAGTTTGAAACGTCGATAGATGTATCAGATAGTTTTTGTATTGTTATTTAGTTCTTGGTAAGTTTCATTTTTGGTATTGTTCATTTCATTATTTTATTCTTAGTATCTTTTTGAGAACTAGTGTTTTAAATCGAATGTAATAAACAGAGGAAAAAAACAATTCACAAAATTCGATAGGATACTAAAGATGAGTATTAAGATCCTTTACATTGAAGGAACAAAAAGATTAAAGAAATTCGAATATTTCACATCTAGCCAACAAATACCCTAAGCCTTTTAATATCCAAATCACTCTTTACAAGGGAAGTTATGCGAACTTAACAGATCGGAAAAAACGGCGTTCAAACGAGAATTTCCGGAATATCAGGTATTATTAATTCTATTCAAAAAGATTGAACGACACATTAAAAAGTATTAAATGAACGATTAAGCGAACGATTTAAATGATGATAGTTCCAGGGAAGCAACATTCCTCGGAAGATTAATCAGATTAGACAATTTACAAGAAATCGTTAGATCGAATTATAGTTCAATTACGAAATATTTGTGCGAAATGGAATGACATTTTAACGATTTCCTGTAAGATAATCACGGATGCAAATTTTTTCCGACACTTCGTCAGAATTTCATTTAATCACGCTTAGTGGAATCATTACTGCGCTCGGGCGCTATTCCGAAGCGATCCCGCGCAAACTCGTTTGCTCATTAAAATCTCATAAAACGTTGATACTTCTACAATTTACCGTCGGAGTGTTCGCCTGGCAAGCCAAGAAAATCCAATGGCCTTAACACCGATGCTAGACAACAGACTACGATAGTGTTTCTCTGTGATAAACGGACCAAGACCGAAAGAATCTTTGGGGCAGTTACGTGGGACAATGTGATGCCATTTTTCTTATGAAAAACCGTATTTGTTCCGGATACCATGAAACACTTTTTGTTTACTGGTTGCTCCAAAAATTTTGAACGGAATTTCGTTTCCAAAATAAGTCTACAAAATTGTCACTTTACTTTGATTACGCCGTAATATTAATTTCTTATTTAATCTCCCTCGTATCGTATAAACGAATTTGATCCTAAACAGTTCATATTCATCTTTTTCGCCACCATTTCATAGTATGGCAGTTTATAAATAATTTCTATATATATTTTAAAATAATATACTACTTATTATAGTATTTAGTTTCCAAAAGAAAGGTATAAGTTTTCAATTTTTATTTACACAATCATTTTTAGTTTACCTTATAGGAAGTTGTTAACAGATAAGATTACTTCCTAACGGTACTAGAATAAACACTTCCGAAATGTTTATGACAAACATACGATAATTAATATTATATAAGTTCTATACATTGAAATCTGTCAGACTTATTTTTTTTTCAACGAACTTCCTTGCAGGGAAAAAGATTATTGAACTTTTTCATAAGTTCAACCTTAAGTCTGACCGAAGAATTGTTTTGTATTCAATTAAAAAAGGAAGTGAAGTCCGTCTTGTATAATTCTATCAAGCCACCCGACATCTTTCGATTTCACCCGCACGCTTGAAGTTTAAGTTAGCAACGGGGTGTTCGAATTAGCGTTTCGGACCACGGATAAATATAGAGGGCCACCCAGCGAGCAAACTAATGTACCATGTGCCCGGCGTGGGGGTAAAGCGATCTTTCGTTCAATTCTCTGTCCTCCTTTTGTCACTCCATTCTGACTTTTCTCCGTCCTCCTTCAACCGATTGTATTTTTTCACCTGAAACTGTCTGTTTCTCGAACACGTCCGCCATTTCTCGAACAATCAACTAAATTTTGAAAATTTTGCTACCAGTTTCTATTAAATCGATAAAACTTAAATCAAATACATTATGTTCTTTATTTATTTTATCTATTTATTATCGAAAAAATGGAATTTGCTGAACTATAAATTAAATATTTACAACTTTATTTCGATTTTATTTAGAAGAAACATTTCCTTCACTTTCGTTCCTCGATACACTTTGGTAGATTATTAGTTATATGATCCTTGCATCAGGCTCTAGATGCTTATAATATAAGAAGTTGATAGTTAAACAAAATTAAGAGCTTGGATTTATTGTACTGCTCGTTATTATTTACATTTAACTTTTACTCTGCGGTTCTTATTCTAGACGTAAGAATATTTAATAGAAAGACTTTATAATCAGCATAAAGAAACAATCACCAGTATAACATTTATTAAATATATACTTCTAGTTTTTATCTTGGAAAAACATTCTGTTTAAAAGTTCCGCAGACAAAGACAACAGCGACTCATTTCGTGAGTCTCGAAACAATTTTCCAGGGCAATAATTTCCAACTCGGTAATCGTGTCTCAGTAATAGACAGGGTTCAATGAAAGACCCAAGAACATCAAGAATAAAGAACGTGGTCTCGTTCGCAGGAAATACTTCGATGACGCACTTACCTTGAACCCAGAGCTGTTCGACCTTGCTGTGAACTTGAGCCGACTTGAGGGCGACGCAGAACGTAGCTAAAGCGACGATCGCGAGGAAGAGAACTTTGCCTGCGTGCCTCTGCAGGAAGTAGCCCAGCTGACTCAGCTGATCCTGCAGCCTTGCCCTGATCCACACCGCAGACCTCTGACCTTCCGCTTTGCCCTGAAAAAGCCAAATGGGAATGAGAATTTTAGCTCGTTCTTTTGGAAAAAGGTATTTCTAAAGATACTATGAAACACAGTATTTTAACCCCTTGCTTTACAATATCGTGCTAGACACATAAAGATCTCAAGTAGAAATTAATAGTACTAGATGTTACTCAACTCTTTTGAATTTAAATTGTATATTATTTTTCTGTTATCAGTTGTTATGATGTAAAGTAAACGTGGATATAAACGAGCATGGAATTCTTATTTGCTTCTGGTAAATCATTAATGACAAAGTAATTCTAGCGAATAGAATTGTGAAAGAAATCATAGGGCAAGGGGTTAATGTTAAAAATAAATAATATGATGGTTAAATAGTTAATCAAGATTCTTATTTTAATTATCGGAATCAAAGTTTGTGCAATGAAAGTTAACGTAATTTCACTGAATCCCGTTATTCGTAACTACAAAACGGTGTACAGTCTACGATCGAGAACCACAGAAGTAACACTACTTCTCGGTATGTAACTGTACTTCATTTTTACAATTTTAAATTGAATCTTGAAGTGACGACAGGTACAGTAATGGGTGAAACAGTAAATAGTTTGTATTGAGATACTGTACATATAATTTTGAAAATTATACATCTCATTTGTTTGAATATAGTTTGTTATATAGAGATATTAATTTTTGAACTAAGAGAAATTTTACTCCAGCAAATAAAATATTTTAAACGCAAAATTAAAGTATTTCATTTCATAGTTCAGACTACTAAACTAAAAGCACTTCATTTATCCAAATTTCATTTCGGTTTAAAAATATTTCTTATTTAAGTTATACAGTGCTAAACATTTTAATATATCCCTTCAAATTTTAATCAATTTGGAACGGATCTTTATTATTACCTTCTTCATATACAAATTTCTGGAGAATCAAGTAAAACGGAACTTCATTTATTAAAGTCAATAGTTATGATAAATAAAAATTTATGTAAAACTTTATTGCACTATATATTTAAATAATTTCTTTTTCAAATTCGAGTAAGCTATGAATATATAAATATTCGCATTATATTTGTGAATATTTACCTACTTCCGACTCATACTAATCCTTGTGAATGAGAATTGTTTCCATTGTTTATAATAAAATTCCTATATTTAGTAAAAATACATTATTATGTATTTATAATACGCATAAAATACTAAGTTATGATTGAATATATACTTTCTGTACCATGACTCAAAACTGGGATCTAAGATACTTTGTACTATTGTCGTCGTTCTAACAATGAAACAGTTCCGCAACATTCGATCCTCCGAGTCACTGTATCGGGTTTACGAGTCACCCTGTCGACTGCGCGCCGATACCGCCTACGATTTTCAAGAAAAGGAGCAGATTCTAGCGGTTAAAGAGTGGCGGAGCCGGAACGGCAGCCGGAGCACTTTAAATTGGCCGCGTGGGCTTTGACGATGATAAGTAGCTGGCCGCGGGTTGTACGTGCGAACGTGTGTACTACCTCTTAAATGTAACCACTGGAGTCTAGAAGACTGGCGGCAGCGAGCAGCAGTAAAAGCGAATGATAAGAAAATAGTTGGCAACACATAGCCTGGAAATGTATAAATTTTAAAAATTGCTAGACCTTCAGAGACACCAGATCGAGAAGCCTTAATAAAATTTCGTTTCCGATTATCGTGTTTATTGTATAAATATTATTAATACATTAAAACTGCATTGGAGAAATTACTTATGAATTTATTGATGATGGGAAATATTGTTGTACATATGTAAGAGGATATAATAGAACATTCCCCCCCTAACGTCACACTTTGGAGACTTCTTTATAATATCACTTTTATCCTTACCATTTCGTGGAGCAACCGGCACGTGAAACAGAGAGTATTAGTAAATAAGAATGAAGATGAAACAATATTCACTACTACCGAACGTCTCGTTGAGATTCGATAGATTCATGAAGATACTATTCCCAAAAATTTAATAAGACGTGAATTACACAATTTCTGATCTCGCGAAACATCAATAAACCGGTAAATATACTCTCCTTTACCAAACATAGTAACGACCAACTTGTACAAACGACAAAAAATAATCGAAAACCAGTGTACAAATAATCAGATCTACCACATCTTATTCACAACAAATCCAAAATCGAAAAACACATCAACAATGTTACCACAAGCGTTCGCAAAAATCAGAAAACCGTAGTCGCTCCAGCCTGCGAACAGTTCCCCGCGAATCGACCCTGATCCCCGGCGTCCCGACAATAATTTACAACATAATAACATTAAACATCGCGAAACCGCAACGAGGATAAAGGACACCGGGCGAGAGAGACCGAAGGAGTCGTGGAAGATCAAAAGAAAAATACGGGAACGGGGGAAAAGGAACGAGAAAGGAAGGAGAGGAAAGGGATAAAAGGGAACGCTCGCAACATTGCGAGCGGCAACGTTGCACACTACCTGGTGGCCGGTCTGACAATGTGCGCCACGGACCACCCGCAACAATACCTATCTTTCCTGGTCGACAGGGGAAAGAAAGACGGAGAAGGAAGGACGCGGAGAGCCACGGATCAGAATGGAATCGGGCTTCGGGAGGAAAGGAGCGGGCGCTTTTCTCCTCCGGTGACTACGCCGCTCGTTCGAGTACAGTTAGAGCCTTGGCTCCGGCCAGGAGCCATGGAGAACAGGAGAACGGAAGACAGACAGAGAGAAAGAAAGAGACAAGGAGCAAAACGATAAAACGAGAGAGGAAGAGCAGCGCACGGCGCACGATAGACGTACAGATGAAAATACAGATTACACACGCTTACGTATCTCGGGGCAGTAGCCGGGCGTCGAGTATCGGATAGCAAGGTTTTCCAGCCAATTAACTCTCGTGCCGCGACTTCGCGGCACCCCAGACTCCGGGTAACTCTAGACGTGCGGACAATCCTCGTCGGCCACATGGTACACCCGGGAAACTCTGCTCTCGCCGACCCCCGACGAACCAGGACTATGAATGACCGACTGGACAGCTTTCGAGCTCTTTGAGAATCGAAAGAGTATACTTCTACTATCCAAACGATTTCATTAGAGATACTAACGATAAGTGTGTAGTATACAAAGGTAATAAATTTTGTTTCACTAAATATCTTCAATTTTCACGGAAAAGCTATCGTATGAAAAGTTGTACTTTACGTAAGGAGCAATATTCCTTTAACCCCTTGCCTTATGATTTACTTCTTAACTGTGCTTGATAGAACAACTATGTTATTAGTAATTTAGTAGAAAATTAAACGAATTTTATACTTTGTGTCTACATTTATTCTAAAGGTTAAAGATTAATAATAGGCAAGTAATACTTAATTTATATTAGAAATTAATAAGTAAGGCTTAGATTTGTCAAATTCGCTTTGATATTTTCATCACGAGTTTGACACGTTATTATAAGTCAAGGGATTAAAATGCAAATGGAATAATCTTATCAGTTCGATAAGAGGAAGAAAAGAAGCTGTAGCAAACGTGAGCGCAATTACTGTGGCTACTTAGTAGCGATTATTGAGTAGGACTAGCAAAAGGAGACCCCCAATGAATCGAAAACCTTGTAGTAAAAGAGATGCAGTTCCATTTTTTATAGTGTTTTAGTTGTAGTGTAGTAAAGAAATTCTACGTTAGTGCTTATGCAAATAGTAATAAATGAGCGATTTACTGCAAATTTTGGACCTGTATCCATTATCGTTACGTGTAATACAGATCCGAATCTTCATCCATCTGAATATCGTAAAGCAATTAACCACTACGGCGCTAATAAACAGCCTTTTTATAAGGCTTTCAAATGTGCCTTGACTGGAAGTAAGGATATTTCTAATTGTCTGTACAATGATGATCAGCAACTTCAAGGATAATTTTTTTTGTATGTTTACAAAAAATGTCAACGGATTTTTTCATTTTCAATAATAAATCAATAAGTTCTGTACTTTATCGTGGATACTTAATAAAAAGCAACCGCTTTTGGTACATTTTTTGGTTATACTTTTGAAAAATTCGTCATAAATAGAAATAAAAACTTATTCACTCAAGGATTATCATTTATTACGTAAAAAGTTGTCGATTACTATTATCGTTTTTATATTACGTCAAATAGGTAAAAACGAGGCTCGATTCCTTTAACAGCGAAATTTTCAATTCATTGAGTATCTTCTTTTGCTGGCCTTTCTTTTCTATCCGATGATCACTACTTGACAAATTGACCGCGTACACGTTTGATGCAGTTTCTCTTGTTTTTTTTGGAATCGTAGTTATTGAGGTTGCGTTTTAGAGAGGTATTACTCTCTATGTAGAGTTTAACTTTTTATGCGATGGCTTATGCGTGTAAATCCGTGCGTTTATTGGGTTGCTTGGGAATAAATGGAGATTTTTTGTGAGATAATGTTTAGAGCTTTGTGTTATACAAATTTTTAGTTGGTGTTTATTGTGACGTATATCGTTTTGATACTGGAAGTGCTGGATGAATCGAAGTGGCCTGTTTATGGTTTCTTGTTTTAGGATTAGTGAAATCGTAAACGTGGTTTTGTGAGAAATTGTTGAATGGATTTATTCATTCGTGTATATATTGTGATAAAGTCTATGTAAAGTTTCAATAAACACACTATTATAGGTTTTGTAAATTATTAATAAATAAATTCATTTTGTTATATTATAATTTTTAACTGCCTAACGTAAATATTTTATAGAATATGAATCTCTATAATAATTCATTAGTAATAAGTTATTCATTATTAATTTAGGAGAAATTTAGAATATCAGTTCTTAACAAGAGCATACACTAATTGAATTTGCATCCACACATTTTATTAAGTGTAAACTTTTCCGCCAAAATTTATACCAGCAATAAAATA